CCCTTGTAATTAAAGACTGCATCATATTGCATATGTACATGATGATGTACTAGTTTTTCCATAAGATCCCATCCTCCTTCAGTGCATGGGACAGACCTGCTCTTGGGATGAATCAGGGTTGCATACTGAAATGGTGGTTGTCTGCAGGATCTCTCAGTTGAGTGCAGCCCTGGAGAACTGGATTCGAGTCCTGCCTCTGCCACCAAGTTCCTGAGCGATTCTGAGCAAGTCACTTAAACCAAAAACTTTTTACAAGTGGCCACTAAATTGTGTTTTCCTCATGTTCTGGGTGTCTAACGTGACACCTGGGGCCAGACTTGCAGGCATGCTGAGCATGTACAGCTGCAACTGAGGTGGCTTGGAGCTGTGCTCTGAACAGATAAAGTACTATAAAATCCTAAGTACACTGAAAAATCATAGAGACTAACAAATTTATTTGGGCATAAGCTTTCGTGGGCTAAAACCCACTTCATCGGATGCATGCAGTGGAAAATACAGTAGGAAGATATAGATACACAGAGAACATGAAAAAATGGGTGTTGCCATACTAACTCTAACGAGACTAATCAATTAAGGTGGGCTATTATCAGCAGGAGAAAAAAAACTTTTGTAGTGATAATCAGGATGGCCCATTTCAGCTAACAAGAAGGTGTGAGTAATAGTAGGGGAAAATTAGCATGGGGAAATAGTTTTTACTTTGTGTAATGACCCATCCACTCCCAGTCTTTATTCAAGCCTAATGTAATGGTGTCCAGTTTGCAAATTTGTTAGTCTCTAAGGTGGCCACAAGGACTCCTCGTTCTTTTTGCTGATACAGACTAACACGGCTACCACTCTGAAACCTGAAAAATCATACATTATTGGTTTGTGGACACCAGGGGGCGGTCAACACTTGGACTGCAGTCTGTCCTTGGAAATTAGTTACCTGCTGCTCCTTAAAGAAACTTCCCAGTGAATTATGGAGACACCGGTCAGTTCCATAATTATGGCTGAGTTTCCATTTTACCCATAGAGCGTGAAATGAATTTTCTGAGCATTTACTAGTAAACCTCTTTAATTAGCTTAAGTGGAAATTTAATTTAAATCTGGGTCTTTTAAGAACTTTAGCATCTGCCAATCTTTTTTTTGTCCTGAAAGAACTTAACAACAGAATAAAACTTCCCAGACAGCTAACATGATGCAGAGCAGCATTTGAAGGAATTATGTTGTAATTAAGTTAGATAAAAACGATTTGTTAGTAACTTAATTATTATGATTTTTATATCAAGTAAAAGTACATGAAGAGAACATTCAGGTTGCAAAGTCAAGCATTCCCAAATTAGGAAATTCCAGAATTAAATACAGCCTTAATTCAGCCTTCTTGTGCATGTGCATTATAATACAGTCTTTAATTACGTGCTCACTCACTATTTTTTTCTAAAGGACCCCTGCCTCATTCAGTGAATGAATCCAATATTTCTTCTTATCCTCATTCAATGTGTGGCCCATAGGCTTATTTACCACACGCCATTCAAACCCTGCAGTGAATATAGAATTATTAGTTTCCTCATAGACTTTAAGGTCAGAAGGGACCATTATGATCATCTAGTCTGACCTCCCGCATGATGCAGGCCACAAAAGCCGTCCCAACCCCTTTCTCTTGACACTGCTGTTGAAGTCCCTGAATCCTGTGATTTAAAGACTTCAAGTCGCAGAGAATCCTCCAGCTAGCGACCCCTGCCCCATGCTGCGGAGGAAGGTGAAAAACCTCCAGGGCCTCTGCCAATCTACCCTGGAGGAAAATTCCTTCCCGACCCCAAATATGGCGATCAGTAGAACCCCGAGCATGTAGGCAAGATTCTCCAGCCAGACCCTCATTGGCCATTGATACTATTGACCAGCAATGGCACGCTGTTGATTTGACTAAAATCACGTTATCCCATTAAACCATTCCCTCCATAAACTTATCCTCATGCATGTGTTCTCGCCTTACTAGCGGAGTGCTTCACAGACTTACTGAATCTATCTATACAACACCCCTGTGAGATTAAGTGGTGGTATTATTCCCATTTTACAGCTAAGGAACTGAGGCACAGACAGAGTAAGGCCAAAATTGTCAGAGATGTCCACTAATTCTTGGTGCCCCATGTGAGACACCTAGGGATTATTAAACACACACCACTGCATCTTTGCTGCCATGACTCATGGTCCGCAACACCCAGATCTGTTCACATATGGAGGCACAATGAGAATTCATACCAAAAAAAAAATCGCTGCTTTATAGTCCAGTTTTATTTTGCCTCGTGAGTCAAGTATGGCAAGATCCAATCCAAGAACATATTAAGACCAAAGGATAGGAAAAGATCCACTGCAGACAGGAGCTCTGAAGCAATATACAGAGTTCTGAAGTCTGCACTCAGGGCCAGGGGAACAGAGAGAGAACATGCAACACGGACACAACTTCTAGTTGAGGCTGTGTTGAGATTTCCCTTAAAGCAGAAGTTTTTGTAATTTCAGGCAATAAAATGAAAGTGTTTTCATCTCCAAGTCTGCATAGCAGGAGCTGTGGATAGCAGCAGACTCTCTAGGACGTTCACTTTTAGAAAAATTATCTAATTTTAAAAAATAAATATCTGAAAATGGCCCATTCTTGATACTCTACCCAGAGTGTCTCCCTTCTTTTTGCTCTTCTGTAACTTAACAAAGAAATTCGTAACTTCAGTATTTTGAAGGCATAACCCTTATCGCGTCAATCAGTGCATCAGACAAGCTATTTGAGCGTCGACAAAACACAAAATGTTTTTTCCTTTTGCAACAAGCCAACCTGAGTATGGATTATGCAGCTGCTTCCATTCTCTACTGCTGCCAAGGTGCCCCCTCCCCAACCAAACCCGAGCCAGGGACGGAGGGTGGCCAAGCAAGGGAAGCAGCTGGGGAGATGGGACAGATGGGTGTGCGGTGGTCACTGGGGGGAACCATATGGGGCCAGCATGCAGGCTGGTCGACTATCAGAGACTTACTAGCTGGGGAAACTGGCAGGAGAGCAGCTCTTCCAACAGCTTCAGGTCCATGGTCTCCCTCTTGTCTGCAGTCAGCCTCAGATACCATCGCTCCTGGCTCTCCCTTCCCACATGACAGGGGGTCAGGGAGGGGATGTGCCACAGGGTAGTTAGCAACATATGGAATGGGGACGAGGGTGCACTGGGAGCAGGATTCCTGGTGTAGCAGCACAGAGGTGGGTTGTGCTGCAGCAGGGGGACAGGAGGAGTCCTAAAGCAACTAGCGCTACTGGAGCACTAATGCTGAGTGACTGCCCCAAGCATAGCCTCGCCCCAGTACACCGGGGGGGAGGGGAGACTAGAGAGAGCACTGGACTGGGACTTGGGAGACCTGGGCTCTATGCACAGCTCTGCCACTGACCTGCTAGGTGACCGCAGGTAAATCACGTCAACGCTTTGTTCCTCAATTTCCCCAGTGAAATGGGAACGATGATGATGACGCTGACCTCCTTTGTAAAGCGCTTTAAAAGCTAGTGATGAAAAGCGCTTGAGAACCACTAGGTGTTTGTATTATAGAGCTGTGTCCTGGAGGCAGAAATTGAGCGTGTGGCTCTAGGAAACCCCATCCTGGTATACACACACTTCCTCCTATGCCACCCCTCTAACATGGGAGTAGCTCCCCATAAAACGGCTGCATGGGCTTTCCTCCTGCAGGCTCTTCCTCTGCAGCTGCTGTGCTGTGGCTGCTACTTTCCACGCTGACCACTGTTTCCTTGTACTCCCGTCTCTCTGGTGCAGCCCTTTGTTGTCTCGTGTCTTAGGTGGCAAGCTCCTGAGGGCAGGGATAGTCTTGTTATGAGCCCATGGCCCCTCTGGTGGTACGTTGGCTCATGCAAGCCATCTCCAAGTGACTAACCACCACATGCATGGAGTGAGGTGACTTGGGTGGCCCTCTGCTCAGTGCAGCTAGCCTCCAAGGGGCCAGCCCACACTGATATCTGCGTTCCATTGCTCCACTTCAGTGGCAGGCAGCCAGAGCCCCCTCGACCAATGGCGCAAGAGGTGGCAAATGGCAGCTTGGCCAGTAGGGAGCCTCAAGGGTCCCCGCAGTTGGCCATGGGCTGTACTGGACTAGAAGACCTCTTGATGTCCCTTTCAGTCCTACAATTCTATGGTCTTTGGACCACAGGGAGTATCAGGCGCTGCTCACTTTGGACTGGGGACTTCAGTCACCTGCTGGCAGCAACTCAACACGTCTGCTCCGTTCCTAATGAATGTCCTGAGTTTCCGGGTCCCAGTGATGGCCCTGGTAGATGCTGCCACAGCATCAGGGCAGCATCATGTGGGGATGAAGGGGGGTGACCTCGTGCAGGCTCTTCAGTGCAAAGAGAGTCAACCAGCCTGAGCTTGGGAGATGGGTACAAATATTGAGGGGAGATGTGAGAGGGATGGGAGGTGCAGCCTATCTGTGACTCTGGGTTCACAAAAAGCAGCCTTTAAATTGAAACGCCTGAGCTTTTCCAACCCTCTCCTCTCCTTCCTACCTGGACTGCTGTCCAAGGTCCGGGACGGCTGCCAATTACCAGTTGCCGTGGAATAAGCTGGGGATCAGGTTGGTGAACAGCCAACCCCTGACATCAGAAGCAGGTGCCTAACTTGCCAGGTACACCGCAACTATGTCGCCCCCTATGTCTGAGAGTGAGCCACAAACCCAATGAGGGAGCTGGAACTAGGCCCCGCCCTGCCTGTCCTGCTCCCATGGGGATTGACCAACAGGTATGCACAGCCCTTGTCTCCAGGAGGTCACAGGGAAGCACCCGTTTTGAACAAAGTAGAAAATCTGCAGCCTTGTTCCCTTTTGTTGAGAACCATCTCTCAGGTTTAAAGCCCCAAAGAAGCATGGTGGAGACAAAGAGCAAAACTGCTCAGACTTCAAGGGTTCGCTCCCTCTGCCTGAGGTTTTTCACTGGGTTTTCACTGCCCCAGAAAACTGTAAGTCTAAAAATGCAAGAAGAGACAAAGTTTAAAAACAAGACTTGTCTTTTGAAAAAAAAATCATACAAGCTGAGTAGATCCACAAGAAGCCACCTAGCTATCCTTAGGCAAAGTAAACCTATGCAATACACTGCATACTGAGCATGCTCAAGGACAAACTGCAGTGTCTGACAATGTCCTGCTTCTGCAAAAGGCTCAGTGGCTTTAGGTAAGTTTCCACCATGGTAGCCAGCGACACATTGAAACGCCTCCACTCTGCAGGACGCAAAGATTAGTTTCTCTTGTCTCAGAGTCCCGCTCATGTGGCTCAGAGCGAGGCTGGGGTGGGCACTGTGGGCAAAGTCAGTTCCATGGATGGAGTTTCAGCCACCTGGGCTGGACTGGGTTTGCGAAGCTCCAGTTTCTCGCTGAGCTGGTTATAAAGATCCTTCACAGCTTCGCCGCTCTGTGGAACGAGCATTGGGAAAACAAACAAACAAAAGAAGCTGTTACTAGCTGGAACACGAAGTACTAGGACTACTGGGAGTGTTTCAACACAGAGGAAAGTGGGAAGAGGACGTCATGATATAATTAAGTCAATACTCCATACACTCTGAAAGCTGCTATCTAAACAGAACACAGGCTCCAGTAAGCAGCTTCAGGGAATGCAGTTGCCTTCATCTGCAATTACTTTTCCTTTTGTGACCCTTCTTACCTGCTTGGTAGGTTCCAAAGCCTTCTGGAGGGATTCTAATTTGGCAGGTGCCACTTTGTGATGCAGGTGAAGTAGCAATCTTAGCATGTGTCTATGGACATTCTCTTTTCTGTAAAGAGCAATTGTAAAGTGGTGAAAGCAATGTACAGAACACAATGTACAGAACACAACCACACTTTAGAGAGAAAGTTACACAACAACGTCAGAGCGTTCCAACACTGGGAGTTTTGTTTTCAATCATCAAAAATACTTAAGTTGTAAAGGAATGGCTTGCATGCTACAGGACGTTAGGCTTCTATAGGCTTGCCAGGAATTAATACAAGGGTTTAGAACTACTAACAGGCTCTTTATGTGCATTTAGAAATTAGAGGGCTGAAGTTAAATATAATGTTTAAAGCAGAAATTCGATCTGCTACTGCACGGTAAGGAGGATGTTGCCCCACTGCAACTTCTGTCTCTGAATAACGATTTAGGGTTTGTGTAATCGTTTATAAACCAACACTTGCTACTTCCAGTGATTTTATTTCTACAGAATTGGTTGCAAAATCTAAACATATAAAAAAACCACCACAACAGCTATCATACCCTTTCCAGGGTGAGCTAAGTGAAGAGTCTGCAGACAGGCTAAACAATAGCTCAGAGAGCTGTGAACTGTCCCATTCATCTTGTAAATATCGTGCTTTCTGAAGGATGTCGGTTACCTTGAGCAGGCAGTGAGGAAGAAGCCATCGAAGAGACTGGTACAGAAGTCCTCCAGCGCAAATTCATCAGCCAGCAAGGTGAGGTTACCGGTGAGCAGGTGCAGGAAAATATCACTGAAGGCCAGGTCACTGAATGTCTCGACTGCACAACACGAAGGACAATGACTAACAGGCTGGCAAGCATTTCCCTGAAAGCTTTACCATATTAGCAGAAGACAAGCCTGCTGAAAAACTTTATGTGCACTTTGCTGACTGGCCACTGCAGGTGGCTGACTACCCTACCCAGGTATAAACGGAGGTGGGAAAGAACCCAGGATGTGGGCTGAGCAGCTATTGAGGAAGAATTCTGGGAGCAGCTAAGCCTGGGCTAGATTCAGTGTTGTTTCATTACAAGTTCCCTTTTTGGATAAAGTGGAAAGTTCTGATCCACTGCAACTTTTGGGGACTGTTTAGAGCAGGAAGCTACCTGCTCAGAGACACAATATATCTTCCAGTAATATTCCGACCAGTCTACAGCTAATCACATTGCTAGTACAGTGTCTTTCATCCGAGCAATTACAAACAAACACTCAAGAATCTTCACAAAACTCCTGCTCGGTAGGAAAACATCACCACTGAACAGGTAAGTAAACTCATGGGACTTGCACAGGCTCACACAGTGAATCACTAGCAGACCTGAAACTGGCAGAATCCAAGAGTTGTCACCACTAGCCACACTCACCCCCATAGCCCTTATTTTCCTCCTTCTAGGCCTTCTATATGTGACAAGTGGGTACAAAACATAAGAGGAAAACAAGACTCACCTAGTGCTGGCAGGAGCCTGAGAAAAGCATTCTTGTTCCTCTGTTTAGTTATGTGAAGTATGTAATATAGCCCAACCTCACAGGCTATTCTGTGCTCCTGGAGGAATCTGTTATGGCACAAACAAAGTTTCTTAACCAATAGAACAAGAACTCATTTACGAAGAGGACCTTAAGAAGACAGGGTCCACAACCTGGAAGCCACAGAGTAGGAAGCAGGGAAATGTCTCAATAGCTAATCTGAAGTCTCCTGGGAAGTGGTGGCTAAGAGAAAGTGTTCAGATCTAGGAGAGCTGTCTGCTGCCATGGCCCAAAGAAATAATTATTCAACAACATTGTTACTTTCCAATAATCAGCACTAACCGAACAGTTAATAATAAGAAGGAAGCTTCAGGATCAAGCTAAACACAATGGAAAATCTGATTCTGCTTCATTGTAAAGTTTCCCAGCTCAGACACCAATTCTGCTATGAAATAGTTGTGAGTGTGATTCTAACTGGATGTGGTATTCTGGGTACTGACATTCAAACAAGAAGAGTACTGGGAATAAGTGTAAGATCTGAACACAACTGAGCATACGGAGATCTTTTCTGTCTGCTTTGCAAAGATGTGAGAAGTTTCTTTTTTAACCTCCAAACATTTAGGATTTCAAAGAGAAATTGAAGTCCTCTCATCACATGTATAGTCATCTTATTTCTAGTAGCGCATTTGAAGGTGCTCATTCTCTCGCTAAAAAGTATTGGTGGTCAGTCCAAATGCGCCTAAATTCAGTAATACCACGAAAGCAACCACTGTACTCCGCTTGTGAAGGACACACAAATGTCTTCTTTATTTGAAAACAGCAATGCAAAAAAACCTTATGAATTTGTTTTGCAAAGACTGAACTGAAATGTCAGAGCAAGAAACATTAATGTGATGGTCCACCTCCTTGGGCCAGGCCTATATAAAAATCAACAGTAAGAAATATTGCTCCACACAGAGGGTCCTGTGGCACCTTTAAGACTAACAGAAGTATTGGGAGCATAAGCTTTCGTGGGTAAGAACCTCACTTCTCCAGATGCAAGATTCAGTCTTGCATCTGAAGAAGTGAGGTTCTTACCCACGAAAGCTTAT